GGGTATCTTCATTTGGGTCTGGAGAAAGTGTTTAACAGTGCGTTCGCAGTCCTCGGCCCCTCCCACCTCCTCCGACAGACCTGCAAACACCAAATTATCCCTCATGCTACGGGCCTGAAGGTCCAAAACCGTCTCCTTCAGAGTTTTGTTGTCCTGGGTGATCCGCGTCATTCCCTCCTCCAGGGAAGAAACGGACTCCCGCAGAGACGCGTTCTCAGCAGCGAGCCGCTCCACCTGCTCCTGGCTGAATTCCAGGGACTGGCGGAGGTTCTGAAACTCCTGGTGCAGAACCTCAAGCAGATGAAGACGCCCCTCAAATCCCAGAAGCCGTTTATCTATGGATTCTAATAATTCCAATATGTCCTTCCGGGGAGATGAGGCCTCAGGCGAGTCCTGAGGGCGGCTCCGCTTCGTCCCAGGTGTTTCAGGTTCACCTGCTGATTTCTTCGGACCCATAACAAATAACTCGAAAACTCCGTCAATAAAGTTCTGTAAACTTTCTAAATTTTCTTCACTTACCTCCAGATTGAGCGAGTTATACTTACCAGATTATTTTTTAGCGTTGTCAGTTTTAAATTAGGCAAAAATGCATCTGAATTGTTTGTGAATGTTTGCTAACGAGCTGCCATCAGCTTCAAACGCTGCTGTGTCCGGTAATCGGCCGTCAGCGCATGCGCATCTCTCTCTAGAGCTCAGCTGATGTTAGTGGCGAATCCAGGACTGTAACTTCTATGGATGGACAAATAACAGATTTACACATAAGTAGTTTAAATAGAGTGCTGTGCTGTTTGAATGTATAAACTGAACGCCAAGAGAAATCACTAGTTTATTTTTTTTTTCCGTGAATAAAATAAATATGTCAGGCAGGAGCGTCAGGATCTGTCTGAGAGCTGTCTCAGTGAGACAGATAATAGCAATCCAAAGTGCTTTTTATGTGTGATCTGACAATTGATCAACCATTGCTTAAAAATTAAATACAGCTTAGCCGGTTAATTGCTGTGATCATAAAACACGTAAACGGCAGCACGCAGAACTCACGAGGCAACGTTTTACGTGATGTTTACTTGCTGCTATGAGTAATAAGACAGAAAAAGCCACGCCAAAATTAGTTTAGGAAGCCCACTAAGAATCGTAATAAAAGCATTTAAAATAAATACCATACACAGTTGAGGAAACGTTGGTTTAAGTACCTGATATGAAGCGGTCGCTGCATAAGCGAAAACGTTTACTCTCGGAATCCCAGAGTTTCATTTTCGCCCGGTCACTAGCGCGTTTTATTCCAATCATCCAACGTTTGCAGCGCTCCGGAACTTGGGGAACCTTGTAGATGGCTCATTCCTTATGTCGTCCGCGTCTGTTCTGCATCCTGGGGCACAACAGGAATCTACCATATTTCCTGTTTGATTGAGTTTTCTGACAATAACAAATAGTCCAGCTGTGGGCTTCTGCCTGCCAATATGGAGCCGTTTCGATTTGAACTGTTGCATGCCGGGAGAAGTGACGTCAACTCCCGGAGCTCTATAGAGACCACTGTGGGGTGCGCTGCGGGTGTTGCGCGCTCCTCCGTGAGAGCGGGGGTGGGGGGCTTGCACACGTTCCGCTGCTGTTTCTCACCAGTATCAGCTGATGAAGGGCTGTAGTTTCGTTGCGCCGTTGGTGTCAGCGTATACGGTAGGGTCGGGGAGGGGGGCAGGACATGACTTTTAGCCTGGCAGGTGGCAAAGCAAAGCCTGGTGGGCCGCCAGGCTTATAAACCACTGGGGGAAACCCTAAGGCCTGTGGTGTTGCTCTGGTGTGGAGTTTAGTCACAGCTTGATTTCTTAAAAGTGCATTATGTAAGAAACACATCTGCTTTAACTTGCAAAGGTCAGATGGCTGCTACTGATGTTAAAATTGAATCAAATCATGATTTGTGATTTATTTATTTATTTGGACTGAAATGTGTGTGTGTGTGTGTGTGTGTGTGTGTGTGTGTGTGTGTGTGTGTGTGTGTGTGTGTGTGTGTGTGTGTGTGTGTGTGTGTGTGTGTGTGTGTGTGTGTGTGTGTGTGTGTGTGTGTGTGTGTGTGAAATCCCTTTATCACATCTGTCATTGGTACTTGATTAGATCCTGGAGTTTTGGATGGGTCCAATATCTGGAGCTGTCAAGCCAGTATCTTGCAGGGGAGAAATTGTTGGCAAAAAGTTTTGAATGGCATTCCTCAAGGCAGTTTCTAAACCGTCTCAAAACATACTTGTACTTTTTCCCCAAGAACTGAGAAATGTTTTCATTTACACAGGCTAGCAAAAGAACGCTTTTCTCTGGTTAGGACGTTTCATACTTTACAAGTAACTCAAGTGCAGAACATCTAGAAATACCTCTCATTACACCATTGTGGTCAGACACCCAACAAGCTGAATAAACCTTTAGACCAGCATTTCTTACAGCCATTGGACTAGGAATGCACCAACATGAAAATCTGGGTCGATATTGGTACCCAGTAATAATACTGCTTTTGTGGCCAATAACTGCTCTTTACAGATATTACTCTACTAATATTATGTCTGTCCTACTTAAACATTGTTTAAAATCTACCACACCACCTACATTTCTTTTCTGCTTCAGCGACAACCCAACAATCCAACTCTACGTTGTCATCACTCGGTGCATTTACCAAATTAGTGCCTTCATTTGACTGAAGTCAGACCTTTAAAATGGATGTAAAACCCTCGGTCCATGCTTGTGAATCGCTGGAGGAAATCCCGGGCATGTAAATGAAGATAAAGCCTCTTGTTAAGATATTAGCTCGATTACAATAGCTTAGATGTGCATTTATATGCCGTGTCACCCAAAGAGATGCCACATGACCAACCCCTTCCCTAAACGCAGACAGACATGTTAATATTGTCCCAGTTTTTGTTATCAGACCGAAATTAACGTTATACAGTTGATGAGATATAAATGTAGCCACCAGTTGAAACTTTGACTCTATCTGGCCTATGAATATTATCAAGCTGCTCTAAACGGAAGTAGCTGCTGGGAATCCCCACCGTTGTATCTCGATAAGCTACATTATTGATGCGGCCGGTGAAACCCTCTGTTGATACGACTCATCCCTGCTTGTTATTTCAAATATAACTTAACAACGATTTTTGGTTCAATACAAACATTACAAAGAATTTACATCTGGTTTTTAAACGTCACAAATTTTCTCCCTCTCTTTCTCTGTGAAGGAAAGTCAGTGTTGTTTACACATAATATATTATTGCTACAACACTGAAATAATTAGAAAAAGAATCTATGTGGTTTTCTGCAAAATGCAAAACAAACTGACTACACAATAACAATCAAATTACCATTGCATAGAAACCTCTTTGCTAGCAATTCATGTCCCTCTAGGTAAAATCATCTACAAAATGAATGAATAAACAAAACCAAACGTAAACAACTTGTTACTAATTTAACTCGATAATTGCGTGTTTCATTGCAATTGTGTGTCATCTGGCAGTCGCAGCTCATCGAAGCTGATTTTGCTAAACGACAAATTGAATTGGACCATGGCTGTTGCTGCACACGTTTAAGTAAATGTAATGCTGTTTGTTCTGTTAAATGACTTAAACGTAAACCCAGGCTTTAGGTCAGGTTTTATAGTTAGCCTGTTGGGCCATTAGTTCTTTATTTTCATTTGAATACATCATTTTGGTTTTGGATTTAATTTAGGTGACACCACATGACTTTTTATTATTTACCTTCATCACCAAAAATCTATGGAGCTACATTTCTGGAACAATCTGAACCACTGGCCTGAAAACATTACACGTTATTATGCACGGCCGTATGCTCTCACCAGTCACAACTGCGCTACCCATAATGCTTGAATGCTGTTGCTTCACTGCGTCACCTGTAGAGGAGGCAGTGAGAACACTCACAAATACTCTGAACCCGTGAATTTTCTTCATATCCTTTCTGTTCCACTCTGTTTTGTTATTTTGTCCAAGTTCTTTTCTTGTTTTGTGTTTTTCTCTTTTGTTGTAATCCCCTCTCAACTCTTCCTGTCATGGCACAACTCATTCCGTTTGGTCCTGCAGCAGATTATTTCGCCTGTTGGATGTAGATGAAATGTTAGAAAATGTGTCCAACAGATAATCTCTCTAAACTAGTCAGCAGGTGGTGACGGGTACCTGGCATCGAGACATATTTAGTTTTCTTGAACGGTGCAAGAAATATGGCACACCTTTGGGGGTGTAAATGAAGTGCAGTCAGATAGCCTGGCAAGCCAGACTAAATAAATGTATTATTTAGTCTGGCCATGCTCCATTGACGGCTCTCGGTTGTGGGGCGGGTTCTACCGTTGTCTTTCAAATGATCTCCACATTCCACTGGACAATGAATGTGACATACTCTTGTTTCACTCTGCTGCATCATCCCACCCACCAGGCATATAGAGTGCCCTGATTGGCCCACAAAGCGGATAAAGCTCTGTGATTTGTTCACTAAGCAGATAGAGCACTATGATTGGCCCACCATTATGGACCAATCACAGCTCTTTATGTGTTTGAAACCCCTCTAGAGAGCTGTGATTGGCTAGCCAGAGTCCTGGTAGGAGCTGCTGAGATTCCAATGGAGCGTGCCTAGACCAAACTTTGCAAAGCAAGAATTTGGTCTAGTTCACTAGGCTAGCAGTCAGACACACTGAGAGGAAAATGAACACTTTGGGACTACATTGGAACTAACAAATGTGCACTACCTCAAATGTCCCAGAACATCTTGAGAAAGAGGAAATGCTACCTGCTCTACATCTTAGACTGCATCATGTCTGTTTTCATGCCTTGAATATGCCTCTTCATTTCCTCATCTGCCAAAACCACCTCGTTCCCTCTCACCTGGAACAAACCAGGAGGATGCACATCTAACACACCAGATTACAAAAATGTCTAGCTCAGATGATTCAGTGGCATCAATTCTCTTCTGTATATTTGGGTTAGTCTCTCCTCATCTCTTCTTCTCTTCTCCTTTACCAGGCATGCGGCGATCCCAAGGCTAAGCCCTCCTATCTTGTCGATAAGAACCTGGAGTCTGCTGTTAAATTCATTGTTAGGAAGTTTCCTGCTGTGGAGACGCGCAACAATAACGTAAGTGTCCCGGAATCAATTTCTCTCTGTCGTTTTGGTTCGTTTTGGAGCATTTAGCTGCACATTTGAATGGTTTGTACCTTTTAGAGCTAACAGCAGCTTTATGCAACCTTTAGTCAGTGCTAGCATTTTAAAATGTGTTCTTTTGTTTACTTGGTTAAATCAAAGATGCTAAACATCACTTGATGCTAACTTCATATTTAACAGCTGCTGGTAAAACCAAGAATGATGGCTAACCTGCTTGGTTTTGTTTCTATGGCTGATTTTTATCTGAAACATCTAATGAAAAGATTTATTGTTACCATTTAATTAAAAACAGGATTCAGGAAATATTGCTGGCTTGTTTAAGGGAGATCTGTTGCAGCACCAGATTTATTTAGGTGTGTTTTCATGTTGTGTTTTGAAGTCATATTTTTCAGCTTTACTTGTTTGCTTGTGTGTTCATCGTTTAGCTGTGTGTGTTTATGTGTGCGAGCGTGTGTGTTTGTGCGTGTGGCTGTCTGTCTGCGTGTGCGTGCGTGTGTGTGTGTGTGTGTGTGTGTGTGTGTGTGTGTGTGTCTGTGTATGTGTGTGTGTGCGTGCGTGTGTGTGTCTGTGTATGTGTGTGTGTGTGTGTGCGTGTGTCTGTCTGTCCGTCTGCGTGCATGAGTGTGTTTGTGTGCGTGTGTGTGGCTGTCTGTCTGTGTCTGTGTGTGCGTGTGTGTGTGTGTGTGTGTGTGTGTGTGTGTGTGTGTGTGTGTGTGTGTGTGTGTGTGTGTGTGTGTGTGTGTGTGTGTGTGTGTGTGTGTGTGTGTGTGTGTGTGTGTGCATGTGTCTGTGCATGCAAGCGTGTTTGTGTGCATGTGTGTTTGTGCGTGTGGCTGTCTGTCTGCATGTGCCTGCGTGCGTGCGTGTGTGTGTTTGTGCATGTGTCTGTCTGTGCATGTGTGTGTGTGTGTGTGTACTTGTGTGTGTGTGTGTGTGCGTGTGTGTGTGCACGCGTGCGTGCTTGTATGTGTGTGTTTGTGTTTTTGCATGTGTCTGTGCATGTTTGTGTCTGTGCCAATCTGGGTGTGTTTGTTTGTAGGTGTGTGTGTGTGTGCGCGTGTGTGTGTGTGCATGTCTGCGTGCTTGTATGTGTGTGTTTGTGCATGTGTCTGTCTGTGTGTGCGTGTGTGTCTGCGTCAATCTGGGCTTGTTTGTGTGTGCGTGCGTGTGTGTGTGTGTGTGTCTGCGTGTCTGCGTCAATCTGGGTGTGTGTGTGTGTGTGTGTGTGTGTGTGTGTGTGTGTGTGTGTGTGCATCAATCTGGGCGTGTTTGTGTGTCTGTGTGCGTGTGTGTGTGTGTGTGTCTGCGTCAATCTGGGCATGTTTGTTTGTGCGTGTGTGTGTGCGTGTATGCGTTCGTGTGTGTGTGCGCTTGCATGCGTTCGTGTGTGTGTGCATGCGTGTACTTTTAATTATAGGTGTGTGTGTGTACTTGTACTTATAGGTGTGTGTGTGTGCGTTTGTGCGTGCGTGCGTGTACTTGTATTTATAGGTGTGTGTGTGCTTGCGTGCGTGTGTGTACTTGTACTTATAGGTGTGTGTGTGCGTGTGTGCGTGCGTGTACTTGTATTTATAGGTGTGTGTGTGCGTGCGTGCGTGTGTGTACTTGTATTTATAGGTGTGTGTGTGTGCGTGCGTGCGTGTGTGTACTTGTATTTATAGTTGTGTGTGTGTGTGCATGCGCGTGTTTGTGTACTTGTATTCATAGGTGTGTGTGTGTGTGTGTGTGCGCGCGTGTGTACTTGTATTTATAGTTGTGTGTGTGTGTGCGTGCGTGTGTGTGTGCATGTGTGTACTTGTATTTATAGTTGTGTGTGTGTGTGTGCGTGCGTGTGTGTGTGTACTTGTATATATAGGTGTGTGTGTGTGTGTGCGTGCGCGTGTGTACTTGTATTGATAGGTGTGTGTGTGTGCGTGCGTGCATGTGTGTACTTGTATTTATAGGTGTGTGTGTGTGTGTGTGTGTGTGTGTGGCTAACTGCTTTTTTCAATATAACTGTGCAATGATTGTCTCTTATGTTGTTTTCTGCTTTGTTTCTGTGTTTGTTTGTGTTCTGCATGCTAAACTTGGCTTATTCCGGACTTGTGCTTTTTGGTAAGTTTTTTGTTTGTTTTTGTATCTAAGTTTTGAATTTGCGTTCATGTACTTAAGTTTTGGAATGTAACCATTTTACCTGTTTTTGGAAGCTGGTTTGAGGTGTGTTTTGCTTTGCTCGGCTTTCTTCACCTCTTTGCTGGCAGCAGATCTTAGTTTCTCTTTTCATCCACTGAATGGTTGGTGAACGACCTGAGCCAACAGCTGATTGGTTTGATGACAACACAAAAAGATTCTGCTTAATTTACACAATAATTGTGCTAATAATTAAAATGGCAGAAGCGGTTTGTCACACTTCTTTCCACCAGTTGTCATTTTCTGAGCTTTTTCTATATCTCAGTCTTCAAATGTCCTTTAGGGCAACTACCCTTCATGTTTAAGTTGTTTCTCAGCATCGACACACCTGATTCACTCTTAAATGCTCTGTTTTGATTTAGATTTGGAGCAGAGAAACATCCGAAACATGCAGGATGGTGTATTTTACTCTATTATTCTCACATTATTGGAGATTAATTAAATTTGCATTCAGTGGTTTGCCATTTTGCCCACAAATAAGTTAATGTTTTAAAATTCTGCCTTTAGAATCTATTGAACTCACTATTTTTGAAGTTTTCACTTTGCTTTGATGGTTGGATTCTTCTGTCCTTGAGTCATTTAAGAGCAAATATCTGCCAATATTGAGTCGCAATCCAGTACTCTGATTACTTTGACTTGTTTTCTACATGGAGGTGGACTGGCTTGGGTTTTTCTACGGTCAATGCTCATCTTTTTGTCTATTGTCAGATTGTTTATTTTTCCTTTCATCTGACATTAGTGTGATATATCTGCTTAACTAGAACATTCATGTTTTACCAACACTTAAGAGACACTTAAAAATGAAAATGTAAAAAAAAATAAAACTGAGCTGGTTGTAGCTCATAGTTTTTGTTTTTGTTTTGTTTTTTTATTCCTTACTGCACAACCACATTTGATTGAATTTTGATACATCACCAGTTAACCTGATTCTAGAATTAATGATAAAGGTACAATAGATAATAATAATAATAATAATAAAGAATTATTTAATGAAACGGTCACAAAACAGTCTGTCTCAATCATGTTGAAAGGAAAGTTGCATTGAAACAGATTTCATTCTCAGACGGCTGAAGAGGATGTCAGTCTTTCTCCTTTTCAAAAAGACCGGAGAGGGACTTAATTTTGTTAATAATCTATCTCGTCTCCATTCTTCCTGGTTCCAGAGCCAATCATATTTGTGCCTGTAGGGTTGCAAAGTCTGCACCGGTAGTTATAATACAATCTCGGCCAGCAACCCTTAAAGCATCAGCGTTGTGGAAGGAATGTTAGCCAGTAACAGGAGCGACCCAGAAGTTATTTCTTGTACCCATGAGAAGCCACAGCTTCTTATTGTTTTACTCTAATATCAGCTAAAAGGGGCTAGAGGCTAACGTTGAGCTAACAATGATAACGGTGACTTGGAAACAAATAGTTGACTCTGAAAATATCTCAAGCTACTTCTCAACTTCTGGCGCTGACCCATAACTGGCAACAGCTGCTCAGAGCGGACCTGTCTGTTTTGATACATTAGCTGCAGTACCCACATTTGACCACAAGAGGTTATTCTTATTCATGCACCTTTAAACATCTACGACCACGGAAGATAACTGGATCTGTTTATAACCACATCTCACCAAAGACACGGCTAATGTCAGATATTGCGGTGCTTGATCCGAAACTTAGGATCGGATCCGGGCGTTCCTGGTTGGAACATTTCCTCCCTGTTGGTTACCGGCTTCCGTTATATTACCCACAAGCTGTTTTTATCTCTTGTTCTCATCAAATATTTAAATGCTAAAAACGCTCCACTGTAGCTAAATTCTTGCTTGTGTAGATCAAACTTGATGTTGGAGCTTTGGAATTAATTTTTTAAGACTGTGCAGAGATCTGATTGCTGCAGTATCTGAATTATTTATCAGCTGCTCGTGGTTTCCGTCAGTCTGGTGTTCATTTAGTCAAAAATAAGAGATACTTTAATTAAAGTGAAGCAAGTTCTAATAATCTTTGCTGGCGCCTGAAGGGAAACTTAGTAATTGGATTTATTTTTTTTATAGAAGCCAGGAATAGAAATATGTATTTATGTACAGATGAAACCAGAGGTTTAAGTACACCAAGTGAAACTCTTTTTCCTCTGAAGTTAAATTTGACCAATTTTCTCTTGATTTGGATCAGAATAGTTACAGTTAGAATTACCAAAATCATTTGTACTTGTTTAAAGACATCAGAGCTTTATTTATTGAGGCTGAGTAAAACCAGGTGTGAGTGTTTTTATTGGGTGGTTTCAGCAACAAATGATGCTTCATTAGGTCACATGTTTGTAATGTTCCCAGAGTTTGATATAAATGCTCATTTATGTAACTACAGGAAGCATCTTCTGATTTGGTAGGAGTCTATTTAAGTGTGTTCTGCTGTGTTGTTCTACAGCAACAGCTGGCTCAGCTACAGAAGGAGAAGTCTGAGATTCTGAAGAACTTGGCTCTCTACTATTTCACCTTCGTGGATGTCATGGAGTTCAAGGTGAGAAGGAAAACCCAATGAGACACACCTGCTCTGATGTTTTGTTCAAATATGTGATCGGTGTCTCCTTCTGAACAGGACCATGTGTGTGAGCTGCTCAACACCGTTGACGCCTGCCAAGTCTTCTTTGATATCGTAAGCAAAGATGGAGAGCTAATGTGGACTTTTTTTTCTGTTCGTAAAAACAAATCTAGATTTGTGTAATTTACTGAAAACATCCTGATATGCCTGTCGGTCCTTGTTTTTCTACTCCCGACTGGTTTAATTTTCTGGTTCCTTAAAGCAGAAACCAAGTTTTACTCAGATGGCACCACCTGGTGGTGGAAAATATAAATTACTCCTAAAGCCCCTCTCCCTACTTCCATAATTACGGCTGAAAGCAGACTCTCACTTGTGAATGCGGACCTCTAGCTGACCAACAGAGCCAAAACATGTTGTTCTACAGTTAGTATTCCTACATTATGTTGTTTATTCATATACCGTAAATCCTCTAATACAGGCCGGTATTCAATTAAAGGCCGGGTCTCCAATTTTGGCCGGTGTCGGAGTCAACGGAGGTAAATAATGGCCGGTCTCTTATTGTGGCCGGATGGAATGTGGTAACAAGCAAGTATGAGCGTCCCAGCGGCAGAGTTATAGTCCCCAAGTCAACCAGCAGGAGGCGATGGAGGTTCACGCAGAGCTTTGTTGGGCTTTTTCTTCAACGCTTTGTAACGCTACAGACACGATCCTCTATCACGCTCCTACCACACAGAGTCACGGTGTCAGTTAACCATGCTAATTCAACCCGCTCCACAGAACACACATCACCTTCCCTGTGGCTTACATAACACTCACACAACACGCAAATCAGCACATAGGAACTAGCAGAACGATAGGAAACACATATAACACAATACCCAGAATGCACCTGGCTCACAACCCCAGCCAGGTCATTACACTATCAAGTTCAAAGAGAACGTGCTGATTATGCTGCAGAACACTCTGGAGAGCAGCAGTAGGGGGTGTATGAACTAGTCAACATCACTATACAGTAATCCCTCGCTACTTCGCGGTCCGTTCATCGCGGATTCGCTGCTTCGCGGATTTTTTCTTTGGAGCATTTTTCAGGGGGAATTCGCAGATTCGCGGTATTTTTCACTGATTCGCGGTATTTTTCTATGCGAAATATCAAGAAATTCTTGTTTTTTTTTCATCAATTTCATCATAAAATGCACTTTTTGTAATAAAACTAAAAAAAAAACAAGTAAAAAAAATTTTTTTCTTGAGTTTTACCCACAAAAAGAGAATGTGATCATACGATAATTCAATAGGGAGCGTGGTTTCACAGACGCGGAAGTGATAGCGTCGGTGAAACGCCGGCTGATCTAGGAAACCCCCGAGCGTTCGAGCGTCAACGAAGTGACACGGAAATGCCGGGCTTTCCAGAAGTAAGTAAGATAACTTACTATGAGCTGATAGTTCGTTGGATTGATCGGTAGGTTGGAAACTCTGATCATGAATCTGAAGAAACGATGACTGAGTGGTGAGCTGGAAAGGCGACTTCCGTTTATAGCCGCGGTTTGTGACGTAGGTGCAACGTGGAGGGAATCCCCGCGAGGGGCATGCTGGGAGTCCCTACTTCGCGGATTTTCAACTATCGCGGCCAGGTCTGGAACACATCTACCGTAGGTACTGACACGCGATCGTTCATGTCAGTTCATTTCCTTTAATGTTTTCTGTCTTTTATTTGCGCCTGATGCGTTTCGCTGCATGCTGTGGAGCGGGGCGCTGCGCATCACCTTGTCCTCCGACGCACTGATCACTGATACGGCCGCCAAACAGCGAGCGCTCTGCTGTTTTTGCGGTCGGTAGATCTTTTAGAACTGCAGTTCAAAGGTAACTCATGAGGTGAATAAACATGAACCCAGGTAGCAGTTTTTCTTTAGGATTGAGAGGAGATGCAGGAAGATAATAAACAGACAGGACAGAAAAATAGTCAAATAAAAACAAGTTAGTTTTTGTACCTGCTGTTGCAACAAACAGACACCATTGAAGGTCATCAGAAGTGAGGAACAGAAAATGAAATAATTATTTTAATGTTTAGAGCAGCAGGAACTCCGAGAGGCTGCAGGCGCATCAGTGAGTTTGCAGCCGCTGCGCAGGGGGAGGGGGGAGATGGCTGAAGCAGAAACTACCGTTGTTAAAAGAAATGTGTTTAACTTTGAAAATGTGGGCTCAATTTTAATTGTCAAAAACTCCAGCGAACCATTAGTTCATTTTGCTCAATTAGAAATAGAGGCCTGCCTCTAATACTGGCCCTCCTTCCAATAAAGGCCTGGAGCTTGATGAGCTTGAGTCAAATACAGGCCCGGGCCTGTATTAGAGGATTTACGGTATATTTATTATAGACTTATTCGTCATGAGACCTGCCACCAACTCTACTTCAGTCTAGGTTCTTCTGCAAACGCTTGTGCACTCTGTGATTGACATCTGTCCGTAAGCAGATGTCTAACGCTATTGGCTAGCGAACAACTCACAAAGCAACTTGCATGGGGCTCTACAGGATGGAGGGTGGTCTTAGTGAAAATATATTAACATTGCCTACATAATACCACAGTACAGGGTAGGACTAATGCTTACGGAGAGGGGAATTCTCCAGATTGCTGCTTTAATCATTCGGACCGTGTGTAATGTTAAAATCACATGGGTACACAGTTATTTGGTGACGTTTGATTCCTAAACCTTTTGACTCCTGTCAGACGGTGAACTTTGACCTCACCAAGAACTACCTGGACCTGGTGGTGACGTACACGACTTTGATGATCATCCTGTCTCGTATCGAGGAGAGGAAAGCCATCATAGGACTCTACAACTACGCCCATGAGATGACACACGGAGCCAGGTGACTCTGTGATTTCTGAAAAGAAAACAAGACTATCCATGTTCAGTTAAAATAATTTTTCCAGGCTTGGTCCTCAGAAGTGTAGTGTTCTACAAACTCTAACCAGGGAGCAGATCTGCTGAAACCCACCTGCTTTTTGCTCCTCAGTGACAGGGAATACCCTCGGCTCGGCCAGATGATCGTGGATTACGAGAACCCTTTGAAGAAGATGATGGAGGAGTTTGTTCCACATGGGAAGGTACTAAACGTTTCTCTTACAGTTTGAATGAGTCTATTTTAGGACATTTTCACACATTGAGCAGGAAGCAGTAATGTAAAACCAGTATCTCCCTGGGCTGGTGGTTTCTGTCCACATCCCTGTTAAATCAAGTGAGGTGAGGTACATAAGGTTGTGAAAAGTTCTGATTTTGGTGTGGAAGAGGAATTATTCTTATTTAAACCATTTTTTCATTTTGCAAGCATGCTCTTATTTTGTCGGTCCTTCTAAATAACACACTTCCCTTCCCTCCTGAAGCCTAAACTCACCTGCAGCTTGTTATGGTAACAAAATACACTTTTATTATTTTCATTAAGATTCCCATATGTTGTGCATCACGGCATCCGTACGGATGTTGCCATACAGTTTTAGTTGGATGTTGATTCTGTTTAAACCTACAGGCTCCCATAGCAGCTCTTCTCTACTTTTATAGCAGCTCCAGCTCCTGCTAGCTTAGCACAGCCAAGCTGCTAACTCTAGCTTTGGCGTTGTTTATCGTGTGACTAATTAGTCAACTGGACCATTACGCTTAATTAGATGGTGTTTTCCCTTTTTTCAGAATAATGTGTCAGTGTTACAAAAATATTGACTTGATATATTTCATACAGCCTAAATGGGCTTTTACCTTTTGTGGTTTTGAAGGTTGTTCTTTGAAGTTTTGATCTCCACTCACCAGCACTCTCCACCCTGCCACCTGATAGCATAAACCAGTGTCAACTGTCTCTTTAAAATGTGAATTCTGGTTATTGTTTCCTAACATAATGAGTGACCGGGCTTTCCCAACAGATGCGTAAGCGTTTAGTACGCAGCAATTAGCCGCCATTATAGTGGAAGGGTGCGTTTCCACTGGCTGTGAAACGACGCGTTTTGAATGCATCCCAGAAGCGTAGGAACGTCTCGCTCCACTAAATTTACACTCTGAGTCAAGCTCAGCTGTTCAGATCTGGCCAGACAGGAAATCAAACGCAAAAGCAAATAAAACATCAGGAAACTTTCAAAATAAAATATCAAATTAGAGTTCAGTTTAGATTATGTTACATAATCAACAAAGGTTAGCAACACTTCTCACACATTTTCCCTTAAACTGTTTTTTGCTTCTTTATTGAACCCGATTGTATTATTTAGAATTCAGTGATGAGGTTTTATATTGTTTTGCAAAGACTGATGCATTGTTCTGCATACCAGATGTCAGAATTTAATATAACTATAAAGTCGTTGTAGTTATAATCTGGGATCCGCTCGTCCTTCCTGTCCTGCAGTCCCTGTCGGATGCACTGATCAGCCTTCAGATGGTTTATCCCAGGAGGAATCTGTCTGCTGACCAGTGGAGGAACGCCCAGCTGCTCTCTCTCATCTCTGCTCCCTCCACAATGCTGAACCCGGCTCAGTCAGACACCGTGAGTTCATCCCCGTCCCACACACACACACACACACACACACACACACACACCCACACACACACACACACACACACACACACACACACACCACACCAGGGGCTGTGTTGTCTGATTAGAAGTGTTGAGTATCAAAGCTGTCCCATTTGTTGACTCTTTGTTTCAGATGCCGTGTGAATACCTCTCACTGGACGCCATGGAGAAGTGGATCGTGTGTAAGTGCTACAAACACAAACCTCTGGACCGATTTACCAAAACCGGGCTCATAATCTCACCTTCCTCCGCAGTTGGCTTCATTCTGTGCCACGCGGTGCTGAACAGCGACGCGGCGGCCTTGTCTTTGTGGAAGCTGGCTCTTCAGAGCTCCACCTGCCTCTGCCTCTTCAGGGACGAGGTCTTCCACATACACAAGGCTGCAGAGGACCTGTTTGTGAACATCAGAGGGTAGGAGCTGCAAAGATCTTTAAGCTTTTGGACTGTTGTAAAGAGAAAATAAATATCTTTATGTATTTTTAACTTTTTCTTACTTTTGCTTCTTTTCCAGGTACAACAAACGCATCAATGACATCAGAGAGTGTAAAGAACAGGCGCTGTCTCACGCGTGAGTTTAAATATAATCTCGTTAGTGATCCTTTCATCACACTCAAACGGAAATTTTAATCCCTTTTATTCTTTTTGTGCCTTAAACACATTAAAATCACATTTTAGGATCTGTCTTCTCCACCGCTCGCATCTTCTGTATTATTTATTTATATTCCTGTTCTTTTCTGACTTCACTTCCCTAAAACCTGTCATTTTAGCTTTTCCTCCGCCCCGCCGTGTCTTTCTGAGGGAGTCTCACACTAAAGCATCACCTTCTTTACCCCGTTTTATCCCCCCTCTATGTCTCTTCTCAGCTTTTATCCTTATTACTTATGCCGCCTTCCCCTTTCATCTCCCTTCTCATTCTTCTGCCGTCACTCATCATCGGCTCACTTCCTGTCCCCTTCGGGATTGTCCTAAAAGTGTCAGAATGCAGTTTAACCACGCTGCTTGTGTTCCACGCTCCGCTCTGACAACCTCCTCCTGGCTGACTCTCTGCAGGGGCACCATGCACAGGGAGAGACGCAAGTTCCTCCGCTCGGCTCTGAAGGAGCTGGCCACCGTTCTAGCCGACCAGCCTGGCCTCCTTGGCCCAAAGGTAACACCTTTAACCCCTCTGGAAGTTGTCTCAGATGTTAAACACAAACAAGTTCCTGAAAAGTGATCTGAGGGTTTTTGGAACATGTGTTTTAAGAAAGTAAGAACACTTTTTGAAACTTTTGTGAAACTCAGTGAGACGCTGGCTTTGAGTCAGACAAAGTCTCATTGTAGATGAGACATTGCTGGTGAAGCTTTGAATTACACATCTGTAAAGATCTCCCAACATCTGTTATTAGGCACAACTCTGGTCCATCCCTTGTGTTTTGTGCTTTTTAAATTTTTGAATATTAATAATTTCATCGTTTCAATTTTCACTCAATTTAAAGGTGTGGTTCAATGATTATTTCTGATTTATAATCAGTTTTTCATGCAGGCTGAACCTGAAAATAGTCTCCTACAACTATCTGCTACTTTAGCTTCTGATAGATGATAGATGTGAAACTCTAGGTTATGAAAAGCCTGACAGATCCACGTCACACTGTCACAGATTCACCGATCTTGGCTGTTGTCGGTTTAGCGTCCAGGAAACGGACAATGTCCTGGCTAATAGAAGCTAACTGTTAGCATTAGCTACTCCAGCACACAATAGAACTCCTTCAGGCTTGTTATTTGTGGAGATAAAACATCAACGAGGCAAAGCAAACAGAGACAGTGGTAAAGTTGCGTTGCTGTTAGCCAGTCAGAGGTGAGATGTCTAAATAACAGGTAATAATAATGAGTAAGACTCCAAATCCTGCTGTTTTCACCCTTGGTTAACTTCTAATTACAAATACAGGAGCACCAGAGCTTTTTTTTCCCCACGAGTGAACGAGAGCTTTAAGGACAGAACTAAAGACTCGTGTGTCATACGGCGTATTTAGTTCAGAGACTGAATCTGTTTTGCGATGCCTTCAGCACTCCTGACCATCTTTAATCTGTCCATCTTCCCGTGGCTCCGCCCCTTTAGGCATTATTCGTGTTCATGGCACTGTCGTTCGCCCGGGACGAAATCATCTGGCTGCTCCGACATGCCGACAACATCCAGAAGAAAAGTACAGACGATTTCATCGACAAGTGAGCTCAAACCTGCCCCCGCCGAAACGCCGAGCTGGGCACATTTTATCTGCCGGGTTCACGCTAAAGTTTGGCTGCATGTTTTTCAGGCACATAGCAGAGCTGATCTTCTACATGGAGGAGCTGAGAGCTCATGTCAGGAAGTACGGTCCTGTGATGCAGCGGTACTACGTCCAGTACCTGTCTGGATTCGATGCTGTGGTTCTGAATGAGATGGTGCAGGTGAGAACCGGCAGCCCCCACCCAACAGCCTCTAAAGGACTAGCTTAACGTGGTTTCCTGTTTTTGTTCTGCAGAACCTGTCTGTGTGTCCCGAGGATGAATCCATAATCATGTCCTCGTTTGTCAACACCATGACCTCCCTCAGCGTCAAACAAGGTCATCATTGATTTTTATTTTCAATTTATTTTGGGTTTTATATATGGAGCAAATTTTTATAAAGTAGATTGTGTTTATTTTTGAATAAAGTAACAATGCTTTTTGCAGTGGAGGATGGAGAGGTGTTTGACTTCAGAGGAATGAGACTGGACTGGTTCAGACTGCAGGTATGAACACAGTTTAAGGGCATGTTCAGCTCACCTGAAACAGGCTTATTAAAATATGGATAAATAATTGCTATCTTGGTCAGCGTTGTTTGCTTCCTGAATGGCCTCTGTTTAGTGAAATGAGCTCTTGAAACCGTGAAACCTTCACATCCCATCAGTTTGACGTTGCGTGATTGTTTCGTCTGAAACATTCTTACATTTCTGTCCGACTCTCCCTGAATGCTCCACAGATGCTGGTGTTATTTATGTCGGTAAATAAACTGTAATGCTAAATTTCTATAATAACATTATTATAACCATATGTGAAAGTTGCAAGACTGCACACAGACTAGCTGTTAGCTCATCAATCCGAATAGGACATAGCTAAGTTTCTGTACAGAGGATGATCAGGAAGCATCAGGTAAGGTAGTAAATGTAGGTTCTACTCAGGAGTGGGAGAGAGAGCTCTTTAGTGCTTAATGTCAGAAGTTCCACCAACTGTCATGAAGATCATTTCTAATTAAATGTACTGGAAGTTTATTTGAATCATTAAATTTCATTCATTTTTTAATTATTTTATAATGTCCTGCTCACCGCAGGCCTACACCAGCGTTTCCAAGGCCAGCCTCGGTATCGCTGATCACAAGGAGCTGGGTAAAATGATGAACACCATCATCTTCCACACCAAGATGGTGGACTCTCTGGTGGAGATGCTGGTGGAGACTTCAGATCTGTCTATCTTCTGGTGAGACACCACTGAACCCTACAATGTTTCATTTTTTTTTTTTAGGCTTTTCTGACATAAACAAAGTAATTCCTCGCTTCCTGTAACCGTCTCCCGCTGCGTTCTTCAGCTTTTACAGCCGAGCCTTCGAGAAAATGTTTCAGCAGTGCCTGGAGCTTCCCTCACAGAGCAGACACTCCATCTGCTTCCCTCTGCTCTGTGCACACTTCATGTCCTGCACACACGAGCTCTGTCCTGAGGAGGTGAGGACACGGACACACACACCATTAGGACGAAGTAAACGTGGGTTACAAAAATCTGCAACACCAGTAATCCATTATAGATGCAGTATAAACCCAAAGCCTTTCTGAGACGCAGAGTCATGTAAACATTTAGGAACCATTACATGGTCATCTCGGGGAACTGCAGCAGAACGAGAATTAAAATAATCCCAGTTTAAGCCCAGAGGGTGTCTATGCTCTGGCTACAGCATGAACTTGTGTTTTCCTCTGCAGCGTCACCACATAGGAGACCGGAGCCTGTCTCTGTGCAACATGTTCCTGGATGAGATGGCCAAGCAGGCCCGGAACCTGATCACTGACATCTGTACCGAACAGTGTACACTCAGCGACCAGGTAAGAGATGCTGCTGGCGAGTTTTTGGTTGTGCTGATAATAAACTCACCTGTGAGGTTGATCCGAAACACGTCGGATCCAGAGCTGGATCCTAATCTGAGCTGGTGCAGCGCATACAGATCCTCCACAGAGCTATGGAGCCCATCTAAGTTTAATCAGTCTGCCTACATCAGACGTCTGCCTGAAAGCAAACTAGAATTTGTCTCTAGAGTGAAGATGGTTTGAATTTTTAATGCTTTGATTCTTGAGCAGCTTGTATGTGTTGGTGCTTTGACAGCTACATACAAATTCATTCAGAAATGTGCAACCTTGTATACCCCCCCCCCCCCCCACCCACCCACCCACACACACCACTGTCAAATTAACATTACAAGTCCATTTCTGACTCCCAATATCAAACGTGTCTGATTAGTTTAACTCTGAGTCGTTGACTCTGCTTCTGTGGGTTTCCTCAGCTGCTGCCAAAGCACTGCGCCAAAACCATCAGCCAGGCTGTCAACAAGAAAAGCAAGAAGGCAACGGGGAAGAAGGGCGAGCCGGAGAGGGAGAAACCCGGAGTGGAGAGCATGAGGAAGAACAGATTACTCGTCACCAAGTCAGTACTAGAAACAAACTTTAACCAGTGTTTTCATCCACTCCTCCTGCTGTACCTAATTATGTTTTGTTTACTCTGTTTCCTATCATCTAACCTGATGTTCTCCTGCTTTTATTTGCAGTCTGGACAAACTCCACACAGCTTTATCTGAACTCTGCTTCTCCATCAACTACGTTCCCAACCTGGTGGTGTGGGAGCACACCTTCACACCGAGAGAGTACCTCACCTCGCACCTGGAGATCCGATTCACCAAGTACGGATAAAAATAACAGTTTAAGTACTTCTACACAGAAAATTGTCTCTGATGTCCAGTTCTGTCTCAGAAGCCTTTAAACAGGAGGTTCTCTGTCCAGCTCGAGACGTTTTCTTCCACTGTTTTTAATTGCGGGGTTCCTCAAGGCTCCATCTTGGTTCCAAGGCTCTTTTTGTGAGGTGTCGTTCCAAATGGGCCAATTTTAGTAAAGAGTCACCCTGTTGAGTAGCATCTGAGACTAGAAAACACAGATGGACGTAAACGTCCTTCATCTAAACGATAACATTTGGACAAATTTGACCTCCTCAGTGGTTTGAACGGCCGTTTTGGTGTCCTGTGCTTAAATAAACATGTTTTCCAGCTTTTGTTTTGATTCTCCTCTGTAAACTTTCCCCGATCCTTTGTGAGAACATTTTTCTGAATTGTTTGACACCTACCACCCCCACCCCCACCCGCACATCTGTCTCCAGGTCTATAGTAGGGATGACCATGTACAACCAGGCCACTCAGGAAATAGCCAAGCCCAGCGAGCTGCTGACCAGCGTCCGAGCTTACATGACAGTGCTGCAGTCCATAGAGAACTACGTCACCATCGACATCACCCGGGTCTTCAACAACGTCCTCCTGCAGCAGACGCAGCACCTAGACAGCCATGGGGAGCCCACCATCACCAGTTTATACACAAACTGGTGCGTTTGGATGTCTCCATCTGGCGAGGAGGAAACCTTAAAATTCAGGATTAATCCCACTCCCTATGTGACTGTAGGTATTTGGAGACGTTGCTCCGTCAGGTCAGTAACGGACACATCGCCTACTTCCCCGCCATGAAGGCCTTCGTCAATCTGCCCACTGAGAACGAGCTGACCTTCAACGCAGAGGAGTACTCCGACATCTCCGGTACACAAAGATTCATGTGTTTACTCATGCTTTCGTAGATCCTCGGTAATCAAAGTGTTTGTTTTGTTTTAACAGAGATGCGTTCGCTGTCGGAGCTGTTGGGCCCGTACGGTATGAAGTTCCTCAGCGAGAGTCTGATGTGGCACATCGCATCTCAGGTTTCTGAGCTGAAGGTACACAAGAACGCTCCTGATGATTTTAAGAAAGGCCACGCTCTCAGGTTTACGGGTTTCTTTATCTGGACATGACAGAAAATTGTCCAGATCTTATTCAAGTTTATGTAAGGTGAAACACAGGTAAGTTGGTCTTCTTGGAAGTGGATGTTCCTGCTAGTTCTGCCTGAAGGTCAGAGGTCAATGCTCAGAGAATTTGTTAGCAGGTCGTAGCCAAACATTTGAGGCTGTAATACCCATAATGCACAGCAGTCTTGACTGGAGAAACCCAAATAAGGCAGCAGTAATGGCTGATTCCAGCACGGAGGTGGTGGGCTGGTGGTTTGGGCTCCTTGGATAAACTCCTGTAGTTTTTAACACACAGTGTTTCTGTTTTAACTCATTTTCAGTCCAATAAACATCGATCCATGTCTTTGGCCACTTGAGGTTGAGGTAAGCGTGTGTCTTTGTCCTGTGCAGAAACTGGTGGTGGAGAACATGGAGGTTTTGACCCAGATGAGGACGAGCTTTGACAAACCAGAACACATGGCTGCACTCTTCAAAAAACTCACCTGTAATCAGAAATGCTCACGGTTGTCTCCTCCAACAGCCGAGTGTCTGGATGTGTCCCTAACGCTGAGTTTTTGTGTCCCTGCAGCTGTGGACAGCGTTTTGAAGAGGATGACCATCATCGGGGTCATTCTGTCCTTCCGCTCTCTTGCTCAGGAAGCTTTGAGAGACGTAAGACTCGCTCACACTAGCTAAGCTGTGATCTCCTCATCGATGCTCGTGTCTAAGGGGACTTTCTCTTCTCCTCCCAGGTCTTGTCTTGTCACATTCCCTTCCTGGTGAGTTCAGTGGAGGACTTCAAGGACCACATTCCCAGAGAGACCGACATGAAGGTAGAGTTGATTCCCAGACCTGCCTCCGCTGGTGTTCCGTCTGATGTTGACGTGACGGTCTGTTTGTTTCCAGGTGGCCATGAACGTGTACGAGCTATCCTCAGCGGCAGGTTTACCCTGTGAGATCGACCCAGCCCTGGTGGTGGCGCTGTCTTCTCAGAAAAGCGGTGAGTCAGCACAAAGTCAGCCCGGCAAACACACGACCTGTCTGTGTGACCTTCTGTTTGTGTCTGTAGACAACATCAGTCCGGAGGAGGAGTATAAAATCGCCTGCCTGCTGATGGTGTTTGTGGCCGTTTCCTTGCCAACCCTCGCTAGCAACGTGATGTCACAGTACAGCCCCGCCATCGAGGGTAGGCCTTGGTTCTTTAGAGACTTCTTTTCGTATCGTTAAAACAAAAATAAAACAAGTAAAATCCCAGCTTTCATTAAAATTAAGAGTTTAATCTGAGCTGCTGCTTTTCACAGCTTCTCCGCTGAGTCAAAACAACCATTTGGTTCCACGACCTTAATGAAAGCCTTCAGCTGAAACGTTGTTTCTGTTAATTAAAGAAGCTGTTTTTTCTCTGCGCTGCTGGAGCTTATTGGACAGTTTATTTTTTTCTGTTTATCAGATGAATCTGCACCAGAAAACGTCCGAAGTGTGTCACTGTAACACAGTCTTTGGGACTGATGATGTTTCAAGGCTTCGGTCTCAAAGGAGGAGTCTTCGTCACTGTTTTAATTAAATTTAACAACCATTTAATGAAATGCGTTCATTAGAGTGGAGCTGTTACACTTTGGTTCCAGATGTAATGAAGACTAAAACAGACAGACTCGCTCTAAAGCAGGGGTGCTCAAAGCGTCCACCACCAAGCTGGTGCTGGTCGGAGGTGAGACGTAAACAGAAGTGTAACGTTCTACAAACCAGTCAGCTAGTCCTTTAGCTTCATATAAGCTTACAGCGGCCATGTTGGCACCGCCAACAGGAAATGCTGGAAAGATAAACACTAAAATTCACAAACTGATGGATAGCTCCACAAGCCCACAGTGCACAGGTTGTAGCTAGTCTGTTCTTAAAGGCCCAGTGTGTGATATTTTTGCCTGTTTACTATCTAATCCTGTTTCCAGTTCACAAACTTGTCCTTTTTCACTAATATTTCTCACCAACGTCAATTCTAAATATACCTCTCAACTTGAAATTTTGCATTTTTTTATACATAAACTGTGGTTGAGGCTCCATGGTCGTCCACCATCTTGAAATTCAGTAGCTGTTTAGGGACATACGAGTTCCAACTTTACCCGTTTGGACTGTTACTGACACCCGAGAGAACCAGCAGAGGGCAGCAGTGCGCCCTGGAAGCATGGAGTCTGCTATTTCAACTAAGAAATAGAAAATAATAGCTACACCGTTGCTGTACTTGTTAGTTTGCATAAAAAACTATTAAATCAAAAGACAAATAATTTGTCTGTTCCTCTTCATGTCCAGCACAAGGAAGCTGCATATGTTCAGACCACCCCGCCCGCTATTAGCTGGACGCCAGCCTCTGATTAGGGTCTCTGACTCCCAAACTCACCTCAAGTTGTTCATTCATCTTTTCCTAGTACCAGAACTCCCGACCCGGTCCCAACGTGTCCAATCTTACTCAAGTCTCCTCTCTTCCCATGTAGCCTGCCGTCTCGCACAACAGCACTAGCCAGTGGCTAAATCAGCATTGTTTACTTTATCTCCACAACACTTAACTAATGGCGATGTAGTTCTCCACGCGTTACAGAGACGCTCCGACACAGAGGGCTTCTTCTCAAACGTTACCTTTAGACTTTGGCCTCCTTTTGCTGGTAATCCGTGGGAGTTTACGTGCAGCGTACACAGCGTCTCCCCGGCTCTAGCCATGGCCAGCTAGTAGCTCAGTAGCTCGTGATGCTGATCTCCACCACGCCAGCCGTGAGCCACGATTAGCTGGTGGATAAGTCAGCATTGTTTACGTGATCTCCAGCATGTCCCCGGCTTACCAACACTCCTTCACCAGCCGTAGTTAAAGAGCAGCCAGTGATAGCTCCATATCCTCCATATAAGCTGGTAGCGGCAGCCAGTTTGTTTACATCGAGGCTCTGTGATCCACGTGAAACAGGTGTTGTGGGAAATGATGTTGCCCTGAAATATTCTGTTTCCCTTAGACAGTCAAGAGCAAATATTTCCAAATTCACATAACTTATTGTCCATTATGAGGACTAAACTACCTCAAATAAAAGCTGGTTAAACTGAGTGAGATTACATCTTTTTACATAACTTTCAAAAATGATAAATAAGCTTGCTGCAAAAGAGTGAACAAGAATGTTTTTAATGTATCCTTTTTATTGTTTTTAGGAGGAAATACAGATAAAAAATCACAAGCATAACATTATTACATTACATCATTTTACCGTAAAAGTTTATTACAGATGTTGTGAAAATAGCCAGAAGTGCGATCTCCCGACACGGGGGACAGACTATTTCGGGAGAGCACAATTTCTCACAACACCTGACCTCCCGGCTGATGTCACCCCTCCTCCGCGTGTGAATCGTGACCGCTTTAGAACTACAGAACTAGCTTGCTTCCTTCAGGACAGGTTGATAAAACGGTCATAATTATAAATGCTTTTTTAACCCTCCCACTGTCTTTATGGGTGACCCTGTGAGAAAAGTTGACCATTGAGCAGGATTGATGGTTTATCCCTTGAGGTCCACATGGCAGGGGTGAGGTGGTGCTCACTCCTCACTCCTGCCACATGGACCCAAGGGATAAACCGTCAACCCTGCTCAATGGTCAACTTTCCTTGCGGGGTCACACCTATTAGGACAGTGGGAGGGTTAAAGAGGTCGAGTAGCTTGTTTGAAGCTTTGTGTGGGTTAGGCTACACAGGGTGGAAACTGATTATACAGTCAAAATCACCAGTGAGCCACTGTAGCTGCAATACTTTCTCTGAACTGCACGGCGCTAAAGAGTCACATTTTTTCATCACGACTTCAATAGATTTCACACACACGGGGCCTTTAACCCTTTGATGCATAATGGTCACTACAGTGGACAGGTACTCAAAAGTGTTATTTCTTTATTTTTGCTATTAAGCACAGCTGTTGAAGACTTTATTGCATGTGAGCCCCTCCATTTGGACTTCAGTAAGTCAAGCCACCATATTTCATGTTCAGAATGCACGCTGTCCACTGAGGTGGACATGTAATAAATTATTTGTAAATTAACAAAATGTCACAAAAAATATTTGTTTCATTCACACCTAAAGATGAATGAAAAAAATTGTTTAAAAAATCATGGTTGAAGGTCTCATAATTCATGCATCAGAGGGCTAAAGGGATCTTATTATGAAAATCTAACTATATGCCTCTATAAACACTCTAAATGCAAAATAATATGTTGATCCTTTTTCTGTCTGATGTCAGGAATCATGTGCTTCCATGAGCCATTTGAGAAGTTTCCTTATTGTGATGTCACAATAAGGAAACTTCCCTCACCAGCGCATCCCCACCACATGTACATGTTAAACAGATAGAACTGTGGGTATAAGCGCCTAAAGAAGCCTGATTGGCTGTAAATTGGCTCTGAATTCCAATAGGATCAACCTTTAGATTGATTTACGTTTTTGCACAAGACTCTGATAATCCTCGTAATGTGCTCTTTGTGGAACGGTGGCAGTTTTTATTAAACTTGCTGGGTTTTAATAGACATCTGTTCAGTTAAATAAAGCTAATATTTATCACAATGGAGACACCATATTGTAGTTAGATGAGGTATCAGAGGGGTTTGTCTGTCAAGGAGGAATTATCAAGACGTCGCCTCCTAACAACCTTGAAATGAAAGGCTGCCCCGTTAATGAGGGCCTTGTGAAGAGGATAATAACGGATCACGGCCCGCGCCCTGGTTAGTATGCAGACGGCGTGTTGGCCAGCGATTGGTTTCTCTGATGGCGTGTCTTGGAACACGGCCTCATTATTGCCACGTTAACTATTCTGTGAGTTCACAATCACATCCACATTCTGTAAGCTCCTTTTTTGTTCACCTCACACAGTCTAATAATCTCCATGAAATAAGAGTTGGATTTTACCAGCTGGACTGTCGTATCCAGGTGTATTGTGGGAAAAGTCTTCCACTATTAACGTTACTCTCCTGAATTTAAACCAGTGTTAATTGATTTTCAGAGCGGAGTTATTATGGGTGTGTGTTTGCTGCCCCCTACAGGCCACTGCAACAACATCCACTGTTTGGCCAAAGCCATCAACCAGATCGCTGCTGCGCTCTTCACCATCCATAAGGGAAGCATAGAAGACCGCCTCAAAGAGTTCCTGGCTGTAAGACACACACACACACAGATTTTTATCTTGAAGATTTAAATGTTTGTCCTTTAATTCAGAAAAAGTTGAGGATGGATTCTTCTTTTTGTTTTTCAGTGTGAGCTGTTTGTTTTTATTTTGTTTTGTTTGATGTTGTTTGCTAAATCAGCTGCAGCTGCTTTAGGCTTCCTGTTTTTCATACATCAGCTATAATGGTTGCTTTTCTTATGTGTCTCCAGCCATGGCACATGAAACCATCTCTATGCTTAAGACAAAAGGATTAAACCATGTGTCATAACTGTCTTTCAAAGTCTTAAAATATTTTCTGTCAGGCATAATAAAGACTAAAACTCCTTATGATCACATCCAACAGCAGGTGCTGCTCTACGGGTCATGATACCTTCAAAAAGGTGACTTTTTTTCAATTTGCGTGTGTGTGTGTGTGTGTAGCTGGCCTCATCCAGTTTGCTGAAGATCGGCCAAGAAACTGACAAGATGACGACGCGTAACAGGGAATCTGTTTACCTTCTGCTGGACATGGTGAGAGGAATTCAAACTGGAGATGTTGTTTTTTAAAATTACAGCAAAGTTTAGTGACTTTCTGTTCTGGGCTGATTTTGTGCTTCAGATCGTGCAGGAGTCTCCCTTCCTGACCATGGACCTGCTGGAGTCCTGCTTCCCCTACGTCCTGCTGCGAAACGCCTACCATGCTGTCTATAAACAGAGCATCAGTGCAAACGCATAAACACACACACACACACACACACACACACACACACACACACACACAGCTGAGACCTGATGTTTGTCTACTGTTTGAGCATTGGCACTTGGATATAGATCCAAACAAAACACTACCAGAGTACACTAAACCCAAACTAAACACACTAATTAATGTTTCTCATAAACATTCTGACACATTAAAGAAAGAGCTCCAACTACAGAACAAACCAAAACACACACACACACACACACACACACACACTAGCTGGGCAAAGTTGGGGATCAGTGTCTATTTCAATCCTTGTTTTCCATGTTGTTGCCGGGGGACCATGAACTTAGCAACACATATACGATGTTTCAAAGAACAAAAATATAAAGATATATTATATATATAGTTGACACTGAAATATTCTTTTTTTTCTCTTATTTTAATAAACGTTATGAGATTTCTATTGTCCAGCCGTTGATTTGGATGCTTACTTTTGGAATGCAAACGATTCTGACGTGATGTGGGTTTTTAGTTTTACTTTGCTGTTATCGGGGAGGTCTGGACTGGGTTCCTGTTTACACACACACACACACACACACACACACACACACACACACACACACACACACACACACACACACAATCGTTCTACAGACACACACTCTTGTATAACATGGTGATGCTTTTTCTTTTCTAGCTAGTCGTAACATGACCATTTGTGGGTAAAGATATGCTGTCTGTATCCTACTTTGATGTGAACTGAACTTGTCTGTTTTTAATGTTTTGTTCATTTTTACGATGACAATGATGACAATTTGCCAAATGTGTTGACACTAAAACTCGTGTATCAGGGCTTGGAAGTGATGGAGTGTTTGAATATTAATGGTGTGTGATGCCATTTTCCAGTGTTGGGTGGGTGATGAACAGAAAAACACACACGGGCGTTTACAGTGTGGAGAAAACGTCGAATCCCCTCAGCTATTAGCAACATTTTCTGAATTAGAGACGAGTAGAAAACCTTGTTTCTGTTGCCAACATGCAGCTTGTGACAGAAGGCATTCAGTAAATGAGTTTTATTTTTAAACTAAATCAGCTGAGTGGAGGGTGGAGGTGTAGGGAGTTGGACATTTACACTTAGGGGTGTTTTGGAAGTAAATTTGATCAGTTCTTTCACACTAAATAAAATTAGATCTCTGACCTGTGACAGTCAACAAGAACCTGGAGCTGCAATAAGACAAAATAAATATATATATGTAAACACTCTGACTGGTGTTTTCACTGGATTTATTAATGTGTGTGTGTGTGTGTGTGTGTGTGTGTGTGTGTGTGTGTGTGTGTGTGTGTGTGTGTGTGTGTGTGTGTGTGTGTGGCTAAAAAAAACACAAAATAAGACATCCTAGATATGAATGAATGAAATATTCTTATAAATACTATAATTTATAATATAATTTAAATACTTTGTGCTTTACTTAGCTGAATGTGCTGAAAAACAAAATCACACAAAAACTCAATGGAAATCAAATGCATCAACTCATGGAGGTGTGGATTTGGAGTCACACTGAACATTTAAGTGGAAAACACAACAGGCTGATGCATCTCTGATGTAATTTCCTTAAAACAAGTCAGAATGAGGCTCGGTGAGTGTGGCCTCCATGTGCCTGTATGACCTCCCTACAACGTCTGGGCATGCTCCTGATGTGGTGCTGGATGTTCTCCTGAGGAATCTCCTCCCAGACAAGGACTAAAGCATCTGCCAACTCCTGGACAGTCTGGTGCATGGAGTGAGACATGATGGCCCCAGGGCCGGATTATCATTGCAGGGGCCCCTGGGCACAATGTGCTTAGCCCCACCCCACCAGGCCTCCCCCAACATTACTGCCACCCAGAAGCACTTTTTAGACATTTCATAGCATTGTCAATGTTACACCCCTACAGTGGGCTCAGCTAGGAAGGTGAGGAGGGGGCAACATAAAATGGATGAGTCTAACGTAAGGTCAAAGTTTCCTTATTCTCACAGCCGTATCGGCTTCAATCTCCATCCTTTGAACCTCCAGTTCCATCTGGAATCTTTTAGCCTGGGCTTTTTCCTCTCTTTCCATGTCCAGACGTGCCAGTCGCACCTAGAACCATGCGTTTCGAGATCCTTCTGTTGGCGAACCTGGGGAGGTCGAAGCAGACTTTCGTAGGGTTATAGGAGATTTGCTCATCTCTGTCGTCTCACTCTCGCCATCCTCGGCAGCAGCAGGGACACCACAGGGTCATCACCCGCAGCAGGATCTGCAGGAGAGCCTTCTGGTTCAGTCTTCGTTCCAGACTCATTTTCAGCCTGTAACACCCCCAATTCCTCTAACCGCTCCACAGTAAGCAGTTTCAATTCGTTTTTCAGGACAGGGTTCGGAATGTCAAGATCAAGGTTGACAGCTTTTTGCAGGAGGTCAGCCTAGCGGCAACACTCCCTCACCTAGAGATTAACCAAGGTGTGTCTAAAAGACAAACCAAACTAAGATTACCAAATTAACTAAGAACGTCCAGGCACCAAAAATCCTAAAATGACTCTCCTTTATTAAAAAGAGACTGAAAATCCATTAGGCCAAAACCCCAACTGGTAATCAAGGTTTGGCTAAAAGACGAATCAAACCAAAAATACCAAACTAACTGAAATTGTCCAAACTTCAAAAATCCTACCTACTTTCTCTCTAGCAGTAAGCACAAAACTGCAAAAGGTTTAGACTGAGCCAAGAACCGCAAGGGAAGAGAACACCAGTTGCTGCTGCAACCCACGAACAATTTCTCTTCCTGATGAGCTCCAGCTGGCTACTTTTGAAGGGCCAGCTGATGAGGTAAAACGGCCCAGCTGGCCGTGACTGCTGCCCTGGTGCTGTCCATGTTCCTGGATGAAAGCTGGTTGTTTTCCAAGGGCAGTTGTCCAAGGTGCTGCACTGCTGAACAGGGAAACGGCACACCCTGGGCCAAGGAAGCGCTGCACACACACTGGGGCTCCAAAACGGCGGCGACCATAACAGTCAATATTAAAACTCGCTTACTCATGTTGATACAAGGGTTAAATATCTGCATGTTTTTTGTTTGTCTCCTGTCTCCTTCCTCCTCTGGTCTCCTGTTTCCTTTCTCATCTTGTCTCCTGTCTCCTTCCTCCTCTTGTCTCCTGTCTCCTTCCCCCTCTTGTCTCCTGTTTCCTTCCTTATCTTGTCTCCTGTTTCCTTCCTCATCTTGTCTCCTGTCTCCTTCCTCCTCTTGTCTCCTGTCTCCTTCCTCCTCTTGTCTTCAGTCTCCTTCCTCCTTTTGTCTCCTGTCTCCTTCCTCCTCTTGTCTCCTGTCTCCTTCCTCCTCTGGTCTCCTGTTTCCTTCCTCATCTTGTCTCCTGTCTCCTTCCCCCTCTTGTCTTCTGTTTGTCATGTATTATAATTAGTCTAGAAAAGAAAGTTTATTTTTAATTATATGCTTGACTCTGTCTGAATTAATAGGAAATGTGTTATGGTCCCTGAATAAGCAAAGAATCCTAAATTCTTCTGATTAATATTCAAAGATCAATCAGCTTGATATTCTATATTTATATAGAATCATCACATTTTATTTGTCGTAATTAAACCCTCCAAGTCACCTCATAATTCATTACACCTACCACCTGGTCCGCATAAAGGAGGGGGAGGAGTGGATGACCGCCTTCATCACCCCTACGGGTCATGCCCTTCGGCCTCTGCAACAGTCCAGCGGTCTTCCAGCGCCTGATCAATGACACTCTGCGGGACACGTTGGGTCGGTGGGTCTTTGCTTACAGGGACAACATCCTCATCTACTCCTCCACTGCCGAGGACCACGTCCAGTATGTCCGAGCTGTTCTCACCCGCCTTCTAGAGAACAACCTGTTCTGCAAACTGGAGAAGTGCACCTCCCACCAGTCCACCATCTCCTTCCTGGGGTTCGTCATCTCCTCCGGGGAACTGCTGATGGATCCCCAGAAGGTTCAGACGGTCTCCAACTGGCCTCCTCCCACCAGTCTCAGACAGCTGCAGAGCTTCCCGGGGTTCGCCAATGTCTATCAGTGCTTCATCCGGAACTAAAGCGTTGTCGCAGCCCCTTTCACCTTCCTCACTAAGACTGAAAACCAACCCCGGCCTTTCCGACTGACCCTGGAGGCGGAAAGGGCCTTCCAGCACCTCGTTCGCCTCTTCATGTCGGCTCCTGTCCTGTCCTCCGGCCGGACCCCAGCAAACCCTTCATAGTCAAGGTGGGTGCCTGGGACATCAGAGCTGGCGCCATCCTCTCCCAACATGGTCCAGATAAAAAGCTCCACCCTTGCTGTTTCTTCTTCCGAAAGTTCACCTCCACGGAGCAGAGATATGGGGTGGGCGATAGAGAGCTTTTGGCCATCAAATGGGCCCTCGAAGAGTGGAGGCATCTGCTCCTCGGCGCGGCTGTCCCGTTAACTGTCTGGATGGATCAGAACCTTGTCCATGTCAGGACAGCCAAACAACTCCACCCTCGCCAGGTACACTGGGCTCTTTTCTTCAAGCCATTTAAATTCCTTCTGGCCTACTGCCCCAATTCCAAAAACGCCAAAGCAGACTCCCTCTCCCAACAGTTCGCCCACTTGCCCCACACTACGGATCCCAAGCCCATCCTCCGGCCGTGCGCTTGCTGGCAACACTCCACTGGCCCTTGGAGGATGCCATCCGCCAGGCCCTCGCCCACGACCCGGCACCTTCCGAGACACCGCCTCATCGTCTCTATGTCTCAGCTCAGTGCCAGAGGGACGCCCTCGCCTGGGGCCACTCCTCAAAGCTCTCTGAGCACCTCGGAGCCACTGGTACCCTGCAGTTTCTCCGACGGGCCCTCTGATGGCCATCCATGGCCAGAGATGTTAGAGAGTATACGGCGGCCTGCGACACCTACGCTCACAGCAAGACCGCCAACCAACCTCCTCCCGGTCGCCCTTCAGCCTCTTCCGGTGCCTCAACGGCCCTGGTCCCATTTGGGGGTCGATTTTGTCACGGAACTCTCCACGGTGGATGGGCAGGACACCATCCTCACCATCATTGACCGTTTCTCCAAGGCTGTCCACCTGGTTGCGGTGCCAGGCCTCCCCACCGCAAAGAGGACCGCCGAACTCCTCCTCGACCATGTCATCTGCCACCATGGCTTCCCTCTGGACGTTGTATCTGACAGGGGTCCCCAATTCACGGCCTGTTTCTGGAAAGCCTTCTGTCGCCTGGTGGGTTCCTCCTCGAGCCTCTTCTCCTGCTACCGCACTCAGACCAATGGCCAGACAGAATGGGCCAACCAACAACTGGGCCCGTTCCTCCGCTGCCTTGTTTCCAGCCAACCGTCCTCTGGGCAGAACTGTCCCACAACCTCCATGTCTCTTCTGCCACCGGACTATTCCCCTTCGAGGTGTGTTACGGATACCAGCCCCCATCTTTGCCCACCAGGAGCCTGACGTGGGGGTCCGGGCTGCTTAGACACTTGCCCGCCGCTGCCGGAACGCCTGGATTAAGGCCAGGGCGGCCATCGGGCGTGCCGACGCCCAATACTCCTGACATCATGGCTGCCGCCATCGTCCCTGGACACATCTACACCCCAGGGGACTGAGTCTGGCTCTCCACTAACAACCTCCGGCTGCGCGGCGAGTCCATGAAGCTCGCACCCAAGTTCCTGGGCCCCTATGTGGTCTCCCACCGCATCAGCCTGGTGACCTACAGGTTTCGTCTGCCAGCCTCCCTCAGGGTCCATCCGGTCTTCCATACCTCCCAGCTCAAGCCTCATGTCACGTCCCCCTTGCTCCCTATATGTAACCGGGTCACCTTAGTTCCCGGAAGTTATTCTGGTTATACGTGCCATGCCGCTGACACAGGGGAGGCCAGGTGTGTAATCAGAGGGCTGCTATAATTAGGGCAGCTGGGGTCTAGCCGCAAAAGCGGAATGCCTCGCTTTGGGCGCGGACGTGAGTGCAGCTAAGTGTGTGAGCAGGACTGAGGGGTGAACAGCCGGAATTTTCATTGGCAAGAGGTCGGCCGATGAGACCTTAGCCTGCTACTGTTTTTCTAGTTCTTTTATTAAATCTTTTCTAGTTCTTTTATTAAACCGTTTGCCGGTTTTATCTTATTACTAATCGTTTTCTCCAGAGGGGGAAGGAAGCAAACTTGTTTGTGAGTCGGGTGGTTAGCGTTAAGCACAGTGCTGTCTCTGGGAGGCTAGTTTCTTTTGGAGTATCCGCTGTAGGAGTTTGTCGGGGGGGGGGGGGGGGGGGT